ATAAAACAATTTGCAAAATCAATTGTAAAAGAAACACTGTACTGAAGCAACACAGTCTCACGGCATTTCGTGTTATAGTCACGAAATTAATCTATTGATTCGTGTTCACCAACACGATTTTGCCATTTTTTTCGTGTCACACAGAACGATTTCAAAAGCAATGTAAATAATAACAAATTAGAAGGAAAAAGAGATAAAACAAATACAGATTTCTGTATTCTGACACAGAACGATTTTAGAAGCAATGTATTTATATTGGTAGTATGTTTCGTGCCTGCACCAAATAATAACAAATTTAGAAGAAAAAAAAAGATGACAAAAAATACAGATTTCAGTATATCTGAGGTTCTGAGCCCCATTTATTTTCCTCGCAGACTGCAAAAAAAACTCCGACATTATACAATTTAAAATAAAAGGGATAGGGTTAGGCTTAGGGTAAGATATTGAGTAAGAATATGTTTTTATGAACCACACAGCTTCTAGTATTCCAAGACCCGACCGGACAAAAAGATGTGGTGCAGGCACGAAACATACTACCAATAGAAATACATTGCTTTTAAAATCGTTCTGTGTGACACAAAAAAAAAGTGTTGGTGAACACGAATCAATAGATTAAATACATTTCGTGACTATAACACAAAATGCCGTGAGACTGGGTGCATTAACATACTGACACAATACCCCAAAGGAATGCTTGAAGCGTTACAAGTGCAGACTGTATGCATTGGTTTTGATCCAATTAAGGGTCTGAGCCTACAGGGAATGAATGCAAGTTTACACATTGTCCTTAACAAGTCCTTGATGTGTTGGCTTACATTGTGCAACATGCTGAATGCATTGTGGCGGGCTGTCTCTGTCCGTGTTGTCAGAACTAGGCTTCCCCGAGACGCTCCGGGGCTGAGGAGGCTACGTGCTTTTGTAGTTTTCAGCCACACTTTATTACACCTGGATTGCAGTTTGGTTGTGACAGGCCTGCAGAGTGCCTGGGGATGTGCAGAAAATGAGTACTGCAAAGAAAAATAAGAACAAGGTTTAGACATGGGTTTAGAGCCAGAGTAGGAAAAAGAGAGAACACAGACGAGAACAAAATCAAATCAACTTCCCATGATCCTCCTGCTCTAAGAGGCCGTTTGCACATCTTGTTCAATGAGGTTTAGCAATAGCATTTACAATGGACACGGTTTATTAATTCATGAATTATTAAATATCATTGTCCCTCCCTGTTCATCTGCATAAAATCTCACTTCCTCCGTGTCTCATTGAATTAATCTCTCACTCCTTATATCTCTCATTCAATTATTTTCTCTCGTCCTATATTACTCACATTCTTCAAAGTGATCGCTTCCAGATTCATTTCTGTTTGGACTGGAAATTAACGCATTGGCTGTTTGAGTCACCTGAATAATGCATTATTCAATTGTCCCCCTAACTCAGGCTGTCAAAGCAATTATTTGCTGCTGTTTGTATCAAATTGTGGCGATTTACTAACAGAAAACATGCCAACATGCATACTTCTGCATCATTTTATAGTTTGGAAATGATGTTTCTGGTACATTTCTGACAAATTATATAAAAAATTATGTAGTATTCAAAAGGGGGTCATGGATGCTTGGTGACAAAGTGATTACTTTTGCCCTGGGTAAATGAAAAAGTAACTTAAAAGTAAGGCGAAAATGAATAGTTTGCTGTTTTTAGGTACCTGTCAGATTCTGTAAACCACAATTATTTCACTTCTAATGTCTCTATTCTGCAAAGTCAATTCTCCGAGGTTATGCACACGCAGACGTTACGTTAAAATGTCAATCTAGCTTATTTGAGTGTGACAGAAAAGTGAAGTTTATTTGTAGGGAATTTGTATAGGGCACAGAGGTTGGTAAAACACACGAGACGAACAAAGGAAAATAATAATTTAAAGAGAACAATATCATGAGATGAAGAAGGGAGGATGAAGTGAATATCATTGAAAAGCAGCAAGCATTTTAAATTCTCCCCGAGGAGAAGCGCTTCAAAGTGAGCAGAATTACTCCGAAGCCTTTCAGAGTGCATGAGTGAATATAAAGCGAGGAATGAACACTGTGAGAAGGAAAAAAAGGGGCCGTGGATGACATTTTAACAATGTTTTCTTTGAATTAAGATGACATCTTACTGAAATTGTAAAGCCATGACCCATGTAGAGTGAATGTTGTGTAACATAACTGTTTGCAAATGAAAAAGAAAAGTCAACACTGCACCATTTTAAATATCATTATAATAGTCATCATTATTATAATTATTCTACTTTAACTAATGTTTTTCCTTATTTAGTGAGTTACTTTGCAGAAGGTTCTTAAAACAAAATATAAATCAACATACATTATTAAACGTTAAGCTACCTAGTTGTTTCGTATAATGCAATTCAAATAACCCTTACTCTTACTTTCAGTGCAACATCTCAGTATTCGGTTTTCCTACTTTAAAAATGGACATTAAAGTGGACACTGATACACAGAAGACGCTGTCGTCGTTAATTCGTTTTTAATTTAGCAATTATCAAGTTTATTAGACTTTGAAAAAGATAATTTAATTAATGTCAGCTTTAATTGTAACAATGTAGAGCTAATGTTAGCACAATAGCTCGCTTAAATCAGCAAAATGAATCAAGTGGAGACAGAGAGGTAAATCTTGGTACTGCTAAATGTCCACATGTTAGCATCATGGTTAGCTTTGTTAGCATGCAGACGTTAGCATAACAGCTAGCTGCTAGCATGGCTGTAAACTTCTGTTCTCTTATCTGAATTTTTTTACGCAGCTGAAAAGAGAACATTGTTTTCTGGGATTGCAGTGAGTTAATTAACCGGAAACTGTGAGAGTGTGGGAGAAAATACGGGTATGAAAAGTAAGACCTTTGTAAACTACACATGGGAGAAGTTTGCCTGCAGGATATTCTGCCTAAAATAGTTATTTTAACCCAAACCATAATATGTTTATAAACCTAACCAAGCTTAACGAGAAGGAGAAGAGGTGGAAGAAGGAATACTCTGTTACATATAAAAGTCCTGCATTCAAAATGTTACTTAAGTAAAAGTAGAAAAGTATCAGCATCAAAATATACTTAAAGTACTCATTGGCCCATTTCAGGATAAAAAATATATGCTTTGAATATAATTATTGATGCATTAAAGTGTTATCAAAGCGGCTAAAGGTGCAGCTAGTTTGAATGACTTTGTATACTGCAGGGTAGCTTGTGAATTGTACTACTGTACCTTTTTTAATTGTATATTTCACATAATTAATCAAAATCTGCAAAGTAACTAAAGTAATACAAATGTAAATATTCAAGCAAAGAACATGTCTCTCAATTACAGCACTTGAATAAATGTATTTAGTTACCTTACACCACTGCAGATAGAGAAAGTTGAGTATTTGGTTTAGCACAATTCAGAACAATGTTTCCTGCTTGATTTGATGTTGATGAGATTAAAGTTTGTATAGCTTATCCTCTGAAACAATATCATGGATGCTGTCCTGCCTCTTTCCCCTCTTACCTTCCCATGTTTCCTCCCAACAGACAGTAACTTTGTCCTGGGGAACGCCCAGGTTCAGTCCGTCTTTCCCATCGTCTACTGCTCCGATGGCTTCTGTGAACTGACCGGCTTCAACCGAGGCGAGCTGATGCAAAAGAGCTGCATGTGTCACTTCCTGTACGGCAGTGAGACCAGCGAGACCCTCACCTCGCAGATGCAGAAAGCTCTGGATGATCGTCGGGAGTTTAAGACTGAGATCATTCTGTACAAGAAGTGTGGTAAGACTGGAGGACAGTGTCATGTTCAATCACGTTTAATACTGTCACTGTCAGTCAGTGTTATCTTTGACTATGTATTTTCAGTGAGGGAAAATGAAAATCTCTTTGACAGGCTCCAAGTTCTGGTGTCTGCTGGACATCGTGCCCATAAAGAACGAGAAAGGCGAGGTGGTTCTGTTCCTGGTGTCACATAAAGACATCACAGAGAATAAGGACCAGGACCATGGCAATGAAACTGACACTGGTGAGAGATGGCATGAAAAAGAAAGTCAGACTTTTTTCCATTTCACTATAGTTCACATGAAATGTTCCAATAGAGGCTTTGCAGCTGCGACACGAATCTATCAGCAGACATGACATTATGGAGGGGAGCAGACATCAAGTGGAGAACCAATCTTACTTCTGCAGCAAAACTGTACTTCATTTCTACCCAGTTTGGCGGGCACATATTTGGAAGTTTTTTTGTCCTAGAAAGACAAGGTAAACTTAAAGGTGGCGTATGTAATTTTGGAAAAACCAGTTCGAGTGCGCTAGAATTTGAAAATACAAAACCGGAACAAATCTGCCACTTCCTTACAGAGCCCCGCCTCCAACACACACGAATGCGCACATGACCAATGAGGGCACGAGATAAGTTTGTGCACAGATGGAAGGCTGACAGGCAGGTA